GGGGGGGGGGGGGGGGGGGGGGGGGGGGGGGGGGGGGGGGAAGAAAGTGTCAAGTTGGCATCCTGATGCTTCTGGGACAGTTTTAAATCATGTACAAGCAGATGGTGGGGAGAGAGTGAGAAAGGTTCTTGCCTCCAATTAGTGGCTCCTTAAACTCCATATGGAGACGGTCTGAAATGGAATTAACCCTGCAAAACATTGCAAAGCTGTCCCTCTCATTCAACTTCTTGCCTTGCAACGGAGTTATCTGTTGAGATCAGCAAGGGAGCTCCTGCCTCCAAAATGGTGGGTGGTATGCCTGCCTTTGGCACAGGCACCAGACTGACAGCTCCATCACCCCCAAGCAGTGCCCCAGATTGACCACTGACCTCCGCTCTCAGCCAATTAGGGTCATTCAAATTCAAAACTCATGCTCCCAGCACAATGCAGCTTGGGTACAAGGATCGGGACCTGGAATTCCTCTGTGAGTCAAGTTTCCAATCTCACAGAGAAAGAAACCTTTATTTCTGTGCGTGAATGGTCACCTTCATCACAAAGCTTCAGGGAAAGGAGGGAGGAAAGAATCTGCATTCATATAAAGCAGCTTGCACACTTACAGATGTTCCATTAGCCTTCATAAGTGAATTTTGAAATGCAGTCACTGTCATTGGGCAGACATGTTGCCAATCTGCACATCACGTGGCCCTAAAAAGAAACTTTGAGATGAAAAACCTCTGGCCTCTATTCTGACAACCTCAAACAAAGTAGGAACCAAGCACTGAACTCACAAGATACAGTCCCAAAGTTTAACCAAAGGAAAACAAAAACGGATCTCTCAAAAATGCAATAAAGCTTGCAAGAGTACAATTTAACATGAAATATGATCTCATTGGTATTGGCTGAGGGATGCATGTTGGCCAGGACACCAGAGGAATTCCCCTATTTATTTATGTTTGAATGGTGCCATGGGATGTCTTATTTTCCATATAAACAAGTAGATTTAACATCTCACCTGAACGACAATGTAGCAACTCCCTTGACATTGCAATAAAGTCCGGGCCCACATTATGGAATTTTCTGAGTCAGAGACAAGAATGCTGATAACCTTGCTGTTTCTGGATGCTGCCCATGCGCTATTGTTTCGAGCCTCACAGGAGGAGAAGGTTCCTCTGCCTGAACCTGTGTTCTTGCTGAGCCATGTTGCACTTCCCGATTTTCACAAGCCTCCCACATGTTGCATACTTTGGCTGAGAAGGCAGCAAGTGACATACTGCCCTGCTTCTATAATTACACAAAGTGATATTCTTCGAGTTTCTATCCCGCAATAGTACACAAACCCTACCTCATTGATATTAAATGATTCTTCCCTGTCACTTATTCATTTCTAATCTATACTTAAGAGTCACAAGTCATGTCTTTTTTTCCTTTATTTAAAATTTAACAATATAGTTGCATTTATCTAAATGACAGTAAAAGAGGTGGTCAAAAGAAACATTTTAAATAACCATTTAAACTCTGGCTTGCTCCTTGAATTGTAATTTGAAGTAACTCTGTTTAAAAATGCTGCTACATCTTAGTGCACCATCTGGTGGTGAAACTATAGATTACTCTACACTATTCCAGACTTATCCCAGTTACTGACAACCATTCCTCTTTGTAAATGTACCGGGATACCATGATTAGCTTCGAACCCACAACATGGATAACCACCCCCATCTTACTCGCACAGCAGCTGATCTTTTGGCTCATCTACCGGTAGATGAGATGCTTCAGGTCAAAGTTTCAGACCCCTGGATTGATGAGCGGGCCTGGCATGGGTCAGCACTCCAGTTCAGATTATTCCAGATGCTCCCGTCTTAACAAACGGAACTCCGGAGATCGATGGTATAAGGCTTGGACACCACGGATCATCTTACTTGACCCTGCCCTTGACAACACTGAATTTTACTCTAATGGGTACTTGGTTTAGTAAAACAGCAATAAAATCCGAAACCTGGACTGTGATTTTGTTTCCAGATGGAGTTATTCAGGGTACACGTGCAATCTTTTTAAAGAAAAACAGCCCATTTTCTCCGGACTCGACAAAAATCAATGAAATTGGGTTGATATTATTAAATGCAAAATTGTGAAGTGTACTAAAACACAGTGATGCAAAGTAAATACATAAAAATGCTTTCACACCTGCCACTTTAGTTTGGATAATAGTCTGGATGCCTGTCTATATTTACATCACCTCAACTCTCCTCCCTTTTGCAGCATGACATACGCAGACATTAGTGAATTTGTGATTCTGCTGTCAATATACAGGCGGATTGTTGATGCAAGAGGTGAGACACCAATCTCATTCTCCTGAAAAATCAAACAAACCACATGCCAGTGTCAAAACGCTGTCTGCTCACTGCATAAAAATTGGTCTTATGGCTTTCAAAACAGCACCAAATCCTTCGTGGATGGAGTACGATTTTGCACAGAGGGTGACAATAACATTGTCACTCCAGCTTTCCCTTCATGTCTACTTCCTTGTCTAGGCTTCTGTAACAGGCAAGAGTTCAGCCAACTACATTGGTCACAACCATGGCATTACATTTCTGCACCATATGCTTGTGACTACATGCAGCAATTCAACAGGCAGCTCTGCCACCTTCAAGGGCAACTATGGGCAGGTAACAAAAAGTTGACCTTGCCAGTAATGCCCACATCCTGTCAAAGAATACAATAAGATAAGTTAACGTGTTGGCTTAGATCGGTGTTAGCCAGTTTAAAATAACTGCTCTTCAAACCAAATGACTGAAAATGATGGGCTTGCAAATACAGAGCAAAAAAAAAAGGCCGGCCTGTACGTTTTTGGGATATCTGATCTCAATCAGGGCCAACTTCAGATCCTGGCACTGGAACAAGTGTCAAGGGCAGGAAGCTACCAGTGGAACACGGGTGAGATCAGTATCTAGGTCAGGTAATGATGCTGTTTTGGTGAGTTGACAGCCAAGTGTATCTCTGCTAATTAAGATATTCTGCAAAACTGTGGACTCTTACAGTTCACCATCTCATTACAAATCTGCACATTCAAAAGAAGGCAGGGGGATTAGTGGAGTTAAATCAGGAAGAATAAATACAATTGAGGCAATCCTAGCAGCAGGAATGAAATGCTGCTTTTCTATCATTACGGTATCTCATAAATAAATAGGGTGATAGCAAAGACACTAGCAAATCCATGGTTGAACTGTCATGGTTAAACATTTTGGCCGATCAGGCTTTTCACTGACTAGGCCCAATTTTAACTCTGTGCAAATGGTTGGGCTTTGAATGAGATAAAATCTCAAGCAACATTGTCCTCGGAGTGCAGTTAGCAGAGAATTTGTTTTGAGAATAATGAAGCAGAATTTGAGTCAATATTCATCCAATGTTCAGGAATGATTCAAAGGCTGGAAGTGGAGGTTAAGCTGGAATGGTAGAATCTTCCCATCCAGAGAGAAGCCAAAAGAAATGAGATTCTCAACATCCAAAATGAAAAAGTCCAATTCTGCAACTAGCTTTTGAACAGTGAGATGAGAATCTCAAGAGCGATTGGGGAGTGGCTATTTGCACTCTACTAGTACCTAATTTGCATGTATTTTCATTCTATTAGTACCTAATCTTGATATGCATTTCCTATTCTCCCACATGCTGGAGAGAAACGAAATGGCAACAATTCCCAAAGTGACAGCCAGGGAGGGTGAGATTGTTGACTTGCTCGCCAAGCTGGCTTGTTTTTGTTCAGGCGTTTCATCATCATGCTAGGTGACATCATCAGTGAGGCCTCCGATGAAGCGATGTTGTTCTACTCCTCTTGGAATTTATACTGTCCGGTCTGTTCTGTTCTGATGTGTTCTTGATGTAGGGCAGTGTGGCCAGTGTGTTAGGGTGCTGCAACTTCATCCGCAGGTGCCTATTAAATAGACAACTCCAAGAGGACACAGTACACCCTAACACACTGGCCACACTGCCCTATATCAAGAACCTATCAGAACTGACAACGAGACTCCTAAGACTACTAGGAATCATGGGAGCCCACAAGCCCACAGCCACACAACACTCAAGGATTAAGGACTCCATACTCATGACATACAGAACTGACGTAGTTTACAAAATACCATGCAATGATTGCCACAAGTATTACATCAGACAGACAGGAAGGAAATTAGCCAGAATATGTGAACATCAGGTAGCAGAAAAACAACAACGAACTCTCCTTAATGTCAGTACAT